TTTCTCTGCCAGACGAAGAGTCGCAGAGAGAGTGCAATCATAGATGGAATCGTGGGCTTCAAAAAGATTATTCCACGCAAAGTAATGAACAAGACACTAAAGCTGAATATAAGCTTTCTGTTTTTGTTGACAGTTCTAAACGAGCTTACGCCTGCTGTCTGTACGTCACTACAACAGCAGAAAACGGGAAAATGGATACGACATTATTCACAGCAAAAGCGAAGGTTGCGCCACTTAAAAAGGAACAAACTATCCCAAGGCTGGAGCTATTGCCAACCTTTCTTGGGCTATCTATGGCAGAAATGACCATGTCAAAGTGTGGGATAAAGTTTGCAGAGGTCAACCTATTCAGCGACTCCACAATACCTTATCATGGATAGCTAGCAACAAAAGATTGATTTTGCAACAGAAAGAATTGAAGCGTCAACTAAGCTCAAATTTTTCCATGTCCCAACAGAGGAGCACGCTGCGGATTGCGCAACAAGAGGCATCAACAAGTACGACTTTGTTGATTGTAGATGGTGGCAAGGGCTAGTTTGGCTCAACCGTCCTGAAGAAGAGTAGCCAGAAACTCATATAAGCAATCTCAATGAAGGCAATTATGAGGAATGCGAAGCGCTTGTCCATCAGACCGAGGATTCTGACAGAAGGAAAGATAGTGATTGGCCAACTGAAACTATCAGCAGCTATTCGAAGCTGAAAAGAATCGTTGCTTACTGTTTGCGGTTCATTCGCTTAGCAAGTAATAACACACGCTTCAGACTCCCAAATGAAAAGACTGTAAAAACAAGCTTACCAAACGCTGCCGAAGTTACACTTGCCGAAAAATATTTAATTCTACAAGAGCAGAGAATCTACAAAACAACAAGTATCTCTCAAAATAAACATGTAAGAACAATATACGACGACCAAGGCATTCTAAGAAGGTGCGGACGAATCCAACACGTCGATATCCCTGGCGATATAGCCAATCCTATGTATGTGCCTCGGCAAAACATTTTGAGTATTAGAATTGCCGAAGATATCCACAGACGTATGGCGCACTGTGGTAGTAATCAGCTATTATGCGAACTTCGTCAGCGTTTCTGGATTGCAAAAGATAGAGTGCTTTGCAAGAAAATATTGAACTGTACGACATGTAAGAGGTTCAACTCGTTGCCACTTGCGTATCTGACATGGGACCTCTTCCAAAGGAGCGAGTAACTCAAGCACCACCATTTGCTTATTCGGGAGTCGACTACATGGGCCCACTTTTGATCAAATTACCGAACGGGGTAGATGGGAAACGCTATGTTGCACTGTTACGTGTTTAGTCATCCGACTAGTACATCTGGAATTTGCCGCAGATCTCACGGCAAAAAGCTTTCTGCTCGCCTTTAAGAGAATCGTTGCTCGGCGAGGAGTTCCTGAAAGAATCATCAGCGATAATGGAAACAACTTCCGCCTCAGCGAATTCATTGTGAGCAGTAACGTCGAGGACAGTGAAGAGATTCATTCGTCACTATTTCAGGCAGAACATCGCATCTCCTGGTATTCATTCCCCCAGCCTCACCATGGATGGGAGGCGTTTGGGAAAGGATGGTAGGAATAGTGAAAAGAGCAATGCAAAGAACCAACGGACGACGTAAATTATCGGAAGAGCTTCTACAAGCATCCTTATGCGAGAATGGCATTGTTAATTGGCGACCATTAACTCACAACGGTGACGATGCTCCATGCCAATTCCTAAGACCAGTGGACTTCATCTGTAAGGACGTTCGGCTTGGGACTGCTCAACTGACATCCATCGATAATGATGAGGAAGACCCAGATTATGCTCACACCAGAACTAGTGCCGCAAAAAGAAGCAAGAACGCTCTTTCCTAAACCCAGAAGATAACTAAAAAATTTTGGACGTTTGGAAACACCTACCTCCTTGAACTTTGAGACCATCATCAGGTGTTTAACAAAGGACGATCGACGAAATGTGAGCCCCAAATTGGAGATATGGTGTTGATGGAGCAGCAGAAGCCACTAAATACGCAAACAGCCGCCAAGAGCTGCAAAAAGTTAATGGATTATTCATCCAATAAATCCAGCACGAAATAGAAGCACTACACATATCGCAAATCACTAATTGTCACCATGTGCATGATAACTGTGCTCCTGAACAGCGTAGCCTCCGCTGCAGTTTTATCTTGCTCGGACTATGGAGTCAAAGTCAACACGACTTCTGCATCAGAATCGGAATTATGTGTGAACTACAAGGATTGCCTAA